CTTCTATCCACGTAATATGTAAAAGTAGCTCTTGTTCTGGAAATATATATATATATATATGTACATGAATGAGATACACTGTACTGATAACAACTTACTTAACTCAATCTCACACTAATATCGTGACGTACTATTTGACCTGAAACTCAATATGCACAAACTGAATTAGTCTGTTATATGCACTAAACAACCCAGGAGCAATAAGGCAGTCTAACTGCAGGTGAACCTGGGCCATTTTCCTGGTAATAGAGACACGCAACCCTTCAGAAATTCAATATATTCTCAATAAAATGACAATGAGGATACAGTAAAAGTCGCTTCTTTGTGATGAGTAGCAAATGAAAACATCTTAGGATGTACTCCTACGACTGACTAAATTGAAGGTATCCTCTGATTCAAACGATATCTCATCAAAATACATGAATCAGCAGTGTGCTTCTAAGACACCAAATTGTCCTTTTGCGAAGGAAAAACGTATTCAACTTGATGTCGATCTATCAGTATCCCAGTAAACGACGTTAAACAGAGCAGATATCATTACATAATGAGCCTGAATGAAAGCCCGATAGTGAGTAAATAGAAAGTACCGAAAACTCGTAGCAAGGTGAATTCTGGAAAATGCATGTCTTCAACGAATTTCAGCTGTGTCAGAAGTGATTTACTCGCAGCCACGGTCGCTTTCCGTTTTATGTAGTCAATATCCATGTTTCGCCTTTTAGATCTACTAAGATAACGTGTTTGTATGACTTCAATGTAGGTGTTTCCGATTTCATTTACAAAGCAGTTATCAGTACACATCATTCTTGCTCCATCCGTGAGGAATCTGACTAAATTATTTCCGCATCGGATTGGGACTTATCTGAAAGAAATGTGCAGATTTTCACACAGAGTATGTTCTTCTATAAAGGACTCGCTTTGCTGAACCATCTTCTATGTCCCATGCTTAATGTGCACTCACAGTGCACTATAGAATCACATCTTCAGGAATAATGACCGGAATTTCAAAGTTCTTCTGCTTCTCTAATATCTGCTGTCATACCTATTCTATAATCTCCATATAACATATAATAGTGAGCAGTGATGTGACAACTAAGCAAATCATCCTCCTCACACCTACGCCAACCAAAGATGAACTAGAAATGATGTCGAAGATATCTCCGCAACCCGGATTTGCCACATTTCAGTGCACTGGTTGTAAGCATTCAACTAGCCCCTTTTTTCTCTCCCTCGACGTTGGAAATAGACAATATAGGACTGGATGTAACAGTAATCACAGTTTATGTGCTCTGGCACAAATACACAGTTTTGCTATGTTACTTCCAGTAGGCTTGTGAGAGTTGCGGACTGTCTCATGGATAACCGCATCATTCCTCGATTCCTTAGATGTGTTCGTTCGCCACTTTTCAGCATAATGTTCTAATTCTTTTGGATAGTATAGGTTTTGAAACTTTGTTCAATCGATGATTAGTTTAGCTTTAGAACTGCAGTAGTCGACAGATGTTGACTTTATGAAAACACCAGAATATTAATTTGAAAAAATGGAACCTTTGCTTCTGTTATTTAATAGCAATCTGTAATTAAAATTCGAAATTCTGCATCTTTTCCAGATCTGTGATGGGGCCATGTCAAATCTGTTAGGTGCATCCTCAGGTGATATATATTTATGTACATTTATGTATATATTTAACTTCTTGAATCATATGGACATTGTAGAAGCTTCACTGCTACACATTATTGCACTTCTGAAAATGAATTCTTCACTTAATCGAACGAAGTTGACGTTTGCATCACTGTGACAGTTCAGTTAATTTATTATTCCATTTTCACAAAACAAATGTACATAACCTCATCCAATTAAAAGAATATATCTAATCATATCAGGAATTTCATAGTGGATCTAAAAAGAGATATAAGCCATGGGTTTAGACACTTATGTGCTGAATGCATGATAATGAGAAACCGTATGTGCGCTTCGTACTAGGGTATGCAGATCAACATTCAAATAATGCAGCGATGGGATTCTAATTTGAATCTAACATACATTCAAATTAGTGGACACGGTGAAATGGGACAATGTCATTAGCTAGAGGTGAAGGTCTAGAAGACAACACAGCTTTCGAATTCCGTATTCAGAAGTGCTTGTGTGTAAAGCAGGTTTCATTGAGTGCCATTCTACGTGTGATTTCAGCGACCAGACGCGAGTGATCACTCTTGAATGATGAAGAAATATGGAAACCTATTTCAGGAACTAGTGGGATTTTCGAAGCTTATTGTTCGGAACTTCTGTAGTTTTGTATGGATTTCGGAAGATAATTATTATCTAATAATATTTGTTATGGTTTCTTAGCTCTTCTGCAATGGCATTCTCATTGTGTGTATATGGTGAATATTTCTGGAAAAGCACTAAACTATCGTCATTCTACTATGGAGAAGACGAAAAACGTGGCGATCTAGATACTAACTGTCCAATGTGAGCTTCCTGTAGACACGTCATTAAATTTACAGACGTGTCGTTGAGCAATCAGTACCTCTAGATTTAGCAAATAGTCGTTATATTCGTCAAGTTGTTCAGCGATATATAAATAATTTCGACGAAAATTGCAGTGCCGTATGGTAAACTGTCACAAATGACATCATAACAAAATCCATGCACATATTAGGCAGAAACAATTTTCCAATCAATGTCTCTAATTCGGTTCGGAAATATATACACACATATGCTGGCTAACCATAATTTAAAAAATAACCCCGAGAATTCCTGTGACATGAAAGAAGCAGCTGTGTGTATACACCTGTGGAAAGTGGAAATAGGAAATCGGTGCTCGAAATCCAATCATCACATAAAATGTCTGTGCTCTGTAACACTGATTCATTTTGGTAATAAAGAAACAGCATGATTGGACAATGTGGTTTCATGTCTGATGAAGCTGTTATGAAGAAATTGAGCAAAATCAAAAGTATCTTTCAACACAAGGCTCCAGAAAAGCTTTCTCCTGTAAGCTCTCATGAATCCACTAACCACTTCTCATGCTTATACATTACTGGTATGCATATTTGCATAATGCAACAAGATGGGAGCTTCCAGTTTTCGGCTAGCAGTCTAGTCTCACTCAAACTACTGACAAATATCACGTCATCCTACGCAAAGCTGATGTTTGCGTATTGCACAGTTTAGTTAGAAAACCTGATTGTTATCGACAGTCGATAAAATCGAGTTGTTCGGTGGAGACGCCATTTTACGTGAATTCATTTTTACCTTTACCTATACAATCTTATATAAAAACCGTTTATTGACAAAGAATAGTAGCAAGAAATATGATGAGTTGTGATGATCATTGTTGTTAATTGCGAGCAATATTTGAGTAGAGTAATAAGATGAATAGTTTATTGCATATGTTCTTAATGGATGCGCATAAGAACGAAGGATTTTCTGGAAGCAAATCAGATTACAAACGAAATGCAGGAGCGGTCAAATGTAAAAAACTACCTGCAAAAATGAAACTAGAAATAAACAACGTTGTCACGTTGTATCGATCGCCCTCTATTCAGACTTGTGGTTTCTACATCTCAGTGGCTAGAGCTTCATCAATGCGAAGACGATGAGAGATTACAGTCTTTGGCAGGATTGCCTTCAATTAGTCGATACATCTGACTTGATGCACAATTATCCCACTCTGTGTGTCATCTCTCCCACATTTGTGCAATTACGTGCAATAGCGTACTTAAATACCTTTGAAGAGAATACTCGAACAATTTGACTGTTTCCAATGGTGAAATAGGTGAAGGGATGAAAGAAGTTCAAAATGGCTCCTATCGTCATTCAGGCGCCTGCAGATCAGCCGAAGACTGGAGAGCACCAAACATTGTTCAGGCGATATAACGAAGAATGTGATCTGATTAGATGTTGAAATTAGTCGCATACAACACCACACCAAAGGTTAACTCTCCCTCGAAATCGAGATTCACGTAAAGACTCGGTTACAGTGAAAGTAGAAATTGATTTTCCCTGAATGTCTGATTTGATGCTGTTGTAAATCCATCATCTTGGGTATAACACTTTGACGAGTATTGCTCTACGAACTTCCATGTCTTCATCTTGATTGATAGGACTACACACAAAGATTCAATGAAGATTATTATTCACTCAACACGCAGCCAAATGTAGGACAATGAAGCTGACCGTTCCATGAGGACTTTACAATGATCGGACTTCCGAATATGCCCCTCAATCACTTCAGATTTCGTATTCAAATCATTCGTGGAGAATTGTCACAGAATTCCTATCGAACGGCTGAACGAGAAAATGAATTCACAGAAAACAGCCTCCTCAGTGATCCACTTGCCTCACTCTTCGCAATAATCACTGCATGCGTATTTTTCATATTATTTACAAGACAGAAGAATTTCAATGACACACACTTGTAGACATCACCTACCTTCTTTTCACAATGTATCGTATCTACATGCGAGTGTTCACTGTGTGAAAGACAATTTTGCAGCATCTAAGTATTTGTCAATGTATAACAATTTAGTCGAACTCAGTGAGGCAGTATAGTTCGGAAGTAAGATGAATAACACGGAGACAAACACATTAGCATAGTTAGTGGCGCTAGGACTCATAAAACCATGGGATGAGTGTATCAATGCATCATGACGCAAAACAGAATTCTGAAAATTGCACGCATCCTTATACACGAGCAACTGCTAAGGAGAGTCTAAGTATAATTGACTGAATCAGTGCACTTTATTGCTGAATGTACACACGAGATAAATACTGCATCCAACGCATTAATCAATTCACTCATCTTCACAAAATCACACCACAAACACACTGCACAACACTGTGAGCATCGACGAACAACAGTAATGCATCACCACGAAAGCCATGCAATCTCTTACTAATTGATGGACACGAATGAACTCACGTAGAAAAATGAAGAGAAAATAGCAACTCAGCATTCATGTAACATTCATTTATTGAGTATTCATACAAACACACATGTCAATCGCGTTCGCTTCAGTTGTCCAACCAGAGAAATACTGAATCTCCCTCAACACAGAACATCTAATCCTTCTTCGACTTCGCATCCTTCGCCTCCTTGATGTCCTTCTTCAAACTTTGAATCTTCTTCTCAACCTTCTTCAGATCAGGACGTTTGCAGGCACTGCAAGTGGACAAAGATACACAATTTTTACAAGAAATATGTGAGTGTTTGCAATAACAACACATCAAGGAATGTGTATGAATATATCTGCTGAGAAATACAGTGAAGTGATGAGTTCGGATCGAAAAATAATAAAACAGAAGAAGACCATGCGAAATTCCACATGGTGATGTGTACTATCTGTGAGTATTCGAAGACAGGGACTAATAGTCTCTAGATCACTCTGCAAAATATGATGCAAATCAATGAATCAATGAATGAAGGAATAAATGGCTAATCAGGCAGCCATTTATTCCTGGGAAATGCTTGTTTTACCATGGTTGATTGTGTGTAGTGTTTGTGGAGTGGGCACATTGCACTGGAAAATACAGAAATCACCAGCGTCATGGCGAAAAGTGAGGATGTTGACACAGGTTGACCGACAAACAGACTACTGTCGTCATACGAATGTGCTCCTCTAAATAATTGGAAATGGAATCCTGGTCTACGTGCAACATCATTCAATGACCAGATTAGTAGTAGACCAAATGATAAACTCCGAACAACATTGAAGCACCAACAAAAATATTGACAGACTGACGACAGAAACTCTACAAATCACCGTCACCTTTCCACGCAGTCACTCACAAAATCAGTCCGCGTAACCATCACTGGATTTTGTCGAAACCAAAATAGATATGAACTGTAACTGGCACAACATCGAATGATGCCCTACTCACGCATATCTAGTAAGCAACTGAGTGAAGAGACAACAATCACGATAATAAAGACAAAGGGAATCACGTCACTTCAATACTAAGAGCGTGTCACGCTAGTGAGGCAAATTATTGGATCAAATTTATGTGTGCGTGACAGTTTGTCTGTGTGTATTCAATGCAAAACTGGAAAACAACACACGCAGTCATCGGTCATCAGCCACACCAAAAACCTACATGTCCACCTGTCGAGTTCCCTTCTTCGCAGACAACTCATCAGCAGTCGGTTTCGACAGATCGAAGTTTGTCACACACAGACCAGACCCAAGCTTCACCACTCCCTTCTCATTACTGCCAACAGTCAGTCCTCCAAACTTGATGTTCCATGATCCTGAAAGCAAAACACAAAATATGATCATAATCACGATGATAACGATAATGAGCGGCATGAAGTGATTCAACTGGAAATTCACACATTTACTGTATCTAAATAGAACAATGCAGTATCACCAGCCATAATCACAACTCGTTGGAGAGGATATCCACTGTCGTTCGAAATAAGCGACGTCAACACTCGTCACACTCGTGAGTGGATTCATGAGGACTGGGATGAAATTCAGCGTCGTGAGAATTGCTCTTCTCATCAGACATGATGCAAGTGTGATGTATAGTGACACACAAACTCTACTCAATATTTGTCCATTCATCAAACAAATATGCATTTATCCATCGAAAACTCAACCCAGGATGAATCAACTGGTAGACAGCTGATTCACCGCCACGTCAACACGTGAACACCGCATCGTCACAAATCGTCTATACATTGAATGACCTGTGTGTGATGATGGAAAATTCTCCTGTTCGTCAATCAATCAGTCAATTGTGATCTAATCAAACAATCAGGCTGACATGTACTATACGAATGAAATGAAAAAAAAAGAGAAGGTGATATCCGGTAGTCATTTGCCTACATTCGATCAAAGTGTGTCCACACCCATTAGATCAATTGTTCTTCAAATATTTGTCAATATCACTTTGTGTCAGCACGTGAGACGGCATCGTGTGTGAGGATTCTGTAACATCATGCTTATATCTATGTGTCTGCATAAGTAAGTGGAAATAGATAACCTTATCATAAACACTGTTTTAGGATACAAAAATCACATGGTGACTGACGAGAGAATGACGATAAAGAAAAAAATCCATATGACTCACCATCCTCTGCAAAATTAAGTGGCAGTTTCTCAGACTTCCTGTAAGGTTTCATTTCGATGAGGTGTGGGAGGAGAACACAAGCCATGACGATGCTGAGTACCGAGAGATGTGCCATTTTCAGAAGTCTGTCAAAGTAGATGAAGAGAATGAAGAAAGAGTTCTGAGTTTAGGACAGATAGCTCAACTGGTGAATAAACAAGGGTTGAATGATGAGAATGCTGTAAATCGTCAACGATGGAGACGTCGATAACCGCACTCGTCGACGCCACACATCCGAAAACAGCTATACAAAGAGAAATTGGAATATCTCATGACCAACGAACTGGTCAGTGTGTGAAACTGCGTTCACGTAGAATGGTCGGTGAATTCGATGGAGAAGTGACTTGTTAGACACAAATGCGAGAGTGAAATGTGGAAATGAATTGCATAACTTACAATTTGTTTGTGACTTACTGGTAAGTTGAATAGTGTTCCACACATGCATGCATTTATATATGCATGTAAATGTGGGTCAGCTGTTGATTTAGGTGTTGAGTGGTCGGCTTTGTCACATCAATCGATACTGCCTGCCAATATGTAGTCATGGTTGTATGAATCTCGTGATGTCAGATCATTAACTGAGATTGACTGTCCTCGACTAATGCTTCACTGGTTGCACTTAAACAGCATTGGATTAATCTGCTGCTAAATCCACTCTATCATCTGTTATTTCATCGATAATTTGATTGTTCAACCACGTATTTTCCCAACTGAACTGCACAATTTTACGGTGAAGATTTGGTTGTATCCATCTCTCTCTGTCTCTCACTCTGAACAACAGCTTTAGCACTGACTTCAACATTCACTTTTAGTACTTTACTTTAATGCTTGATTTAATTCGTGTCTTCTTTGTGACTTAGGGCTTCTTATGACCTGATATCATTGTGATGATGAATGGTGAGTAACAAATTGAGGTACTCTAGGAGAATATTGTGCAAAATAATGTATCTGGAGACATAGATAGGATGGTTAGGAGAACATTGTGATTTGCATTTTAAATGACCCCCTGCTGCACTTCATTTTTTAATTGTCCAACCTCTAATTTTAAGCAATAAATACATAAGTCGTCAAACAGTAGGTGGAGTCAAAAATGCTGATTATAACCGAGAATGACTTAAAGCGACGTGGGCCTGATGCTTTGATTGAAGATGTGGTTAGTTTTATTAATAGCTGATAACTAACGAGACTTTAAATGGTTTAAGCTGACATCGAGAATATAAGTACAAAACTGAGGCACTTTGGTAGAGTATTACCCTATTATAGATAAGATTAAATTTTGATAAATCACACAGTGTTATACAGTAGTATTAACTGATGACGTTTCGAGGACAAAATACTGCTCATCATCATGTCAAAGTTGATATTACTGTGTAACGCAGACATCGAGGAGTCTGAAACAGTCTCATCAGAAGAAAGGAGATTAATGATACCCCAGTTTGAAGGAAAACAAATAAATTTTGTTGGGAAATTCATTGTTGCATAGATCTGCAGAAGCTAAATGAGACTACGTGTTCACAAGCTAGAGAAAAACAGGCAAGCTTCAGGTGTAAACGAGGGCACATTGATCACATTCTTGCCCTTCAAATGCTACTGGTTCGTGGAAATAATTAGGTGCTTTCAACATTCTGCTTCCTTCATTTATCTAGAGAAGACATTTGACTCCATCCATAGTGAGTTGTTTTATCACTGACTGACTAATGAACGTGTGTTGAGAAAATATATTCAGCTAGTCAGCACAGTCTATTTGAACCAATGCGGCCATCTAAAAGCTTGTGTGAAGCTATTATTTTGAATTGATAAGAACCAACACTGTCCACCGAAGAACATCGACAGTCATCACTAAAACTTAATCGCATTATAGATACATTCATCGAAGCAACACAAGGTGTTTTCACTGTTTCAGGAAATCACTCCTTCCCACATTATACTTTAGTTGGTGCAGAGCATGCCGATGAAAAGTGCTGAAAGGATGTCAGCTGTATGATTCACGCTTGTTAAGACTGTTCTGCGTTGTCTTCTAGTTTGATGACAGGTAGTAAATAATTCAGGCAATTACTAGTTCAGTTCTCTAGAGTCTTGTGAATTCAGAACACGCTGCTCCATCGGAGTTATCCTTCAAGATAATCCACAAGGTTTTAGGTTTCCGTAACTGTGTATGGCGGAAATGTTGACAAATCGTCAATATAATCTCGAGCTCTGTGTACAGAAAACATTTGTTGAGTCTGTTAGTCTACTAAGGTCCTAACCTCTTCGTTATTCATTCACCTTATCTTCGATAATTAATTTGCTACTATCCTGTACTTATATCCTCGATGTAAGCTTAAACCATTTCTCGTTAGTTATCAGCTAGTACTAAAACTAACCACAACTTCATTCAAGGCATCAGGCCCACGTAGCTTTATGTCATTCTCAGTTATAATCAGCATTTTCGACTTCACCTACTGTTTGACTACTGATGTACTTATTGCTTAAAATCAGAATTTGGACAATTAACAAATAAAGTGAAGCAGGAGGTCATTCAAATTGCAAATAACAATGTTCTTCATATCCTCCTATAAATGTCTCCTGATACGTTATTAACGCACCATATTCATCTTGGAATCCCTCCATACGTTAGTTACAACTCATTTTCACAATGATCTCCGATCACACGAACCACTTAGTCAAAAATTACACACGAATTAGATGAATGAAAGAACATGAGTGAAACAAGATGATCCGATTTTGACTCATTCACTTCGATATGTCAGATAACATGCAATGAATGCGAGGTCACACATACAGACTAAAGAAGAAGACAAACCACAGTCAGGAAACAGAGACGAATAAAATCAAGCACTGAAGTCAAGTACTGAAAGTGAATGTTGAAGTCAGGGCTACAACCAAATCTTCACCGTAAAATTGTGCAGTTCAGTTGGGAAAATACGTGGTTGAACAATCAAATTATCGATGAAATAACAGATGATAGAGTGGATTTAGCAGCAGATTAATCCAATGCTGTTTAAGTGCAACCAGTGAAGCATTAGTCGAGGACAGTCAATCTCAGTTAATGATCTGACATCACGAGATTCATACAACCATGACTACATATTGGCAGGCAGTATCGATTGATGTGACAAAGCCGACCACTCAACACCTAAATCAACAGCTGACCCACATTTACATGCATATATAAATGCATGCATGTGTGGAACACTATTCAACTTACCAGTAAGTCACAAACAAATTGTAAGTTATGCAATTCATTTCCACATTTCACTCTCGCATTTGTGTCTAACAAGTCACTTCTCCATCGAATTCACCGACCATTCTACGTGAACGCAGTTTCACACACTGACCAGTTCGTTGGTCATGAGATATTCCAATTTCTCTTTGTATAGCTGTTTTCGGATGTGTGGCGTCGACGAGTGCGGTTATCGACGTCTCCATCGTTGACGATTTACAGCATTCTCATCATTCAACCCTTGTTTATTCACCAGTTGAGCTATCTGTCCTAAACTCAGAACTCTTTCTTCATTCTCTTCATCTACTTTGACAGACTTCTGAAAATGGCACATCTCTCGGTACTCAGCATCGTCATGGCTTGTGTTCTCCTCCCACACCTCATCGAAATGAAACCTTACAGGAAGTCTGAGAAACTGCCACTTAATTTTGCAGAGGATGGTGAGTCATATGGATTTTTTTCTTTATCGTCATTCTCTCGTCAGTCACCATGTGATTTTTGTATCCTAAAACAGTGTTCATGATAAGGTTATCCATTTCCACTTACTTTTACAAACACATAGCTATGAGCAGGGTGTTACAGAATCCTCACATACGATGACGTCTCGCGTGCTGACACAAAGTGATGTTGAAAAATATTTGAAGAACAATTGATCCAATGAGTGTAGACACACTTTGATCGAATGTAGCCAAATGACTGCCGGATATCACCTTCTCCGCATTTTATCTTTTTATTCGTATAGCACATGTCAGCCTGATTGTTTGATTAGATCACAATTGACTGATTGATTGACGAACAGGAGAATTTTCCATCATCACACACAGGTCATTCAATGTATTGACGATTTGTGACGATGCGGTGTTCACGTGTTGACGTGGTGGCGAATCAGCTGTCTACCAGTTGGTTCATCCTGGGTTGAGTTTTCGATGGATAAATGCATATTGGTTTGATGAATGGACAAATATTGAGTAGAGTTTGTGTGTCACTATACATCACACTT